AGAGATTACTAATAACTCACTCTCTCTCTCTCTCTCACACACACACACATATATACATATATTATACAATTTAAGAATTACATATTTTTTTTGTCTTACTTTTCTCCCACATAGAAAATTATAAAATAATCACATAACTACAACAACATATATATATATATTTCAAAATAAGTTCTATATGATTTCAAATAATCAATACCATAGTTATGTATGTATATTATGAACGTGATCAAAATAAGAATAATTGCTGTCATAATTTCACTCCAATTAACCAATAATAGTTTCATTTAAAATTAGTTAAAATAAGGCTAATTTCTACCGAATTCCATGCGTATTGATGTGTCACATCCATGTGTCCCGTTAACTGACACATCAGATCCACATTTATGGTATTTTTCTACTTACAGATGCTTGAAATGTTTGAACATTAAATTTTAGAGCAATCTTATGGCACACCTACAATAATGGGACTATAATTGAAAATATTTTCCACAGAATTCAATAATATTGAACCTGATGACAATGTTTAGAAAACATTTTGGTACATGTCAATAGAACATTAACACTCATCACATGTCAATAGAACCTCATAAATGTAAATTCTTACCTCTTATTGATGCCAATAAAACCCATTTATGGTATTTTAGTACTTTACATGAGATGAAAATACTGAACATCATATTTTAATTAGAGCCATCTACAAGAGTGTGAGTTTCCTCATATGAAGTTGCTGAGGTATTGATCTAGAACATGTTGTACAAGAATTCTGTACACTTTCTCAGTTGGATGAAAACTGTCCCAAAATACGTATTCGGATACATTACCGCACGCGAATGTGCAAAGAAAAGACACTTCGAATAACCCTGTTCCGCAACATCCCTTATCGGCAATCTCGAATCCTGTCGGCAATTTCAAGTCAATAGGATTAATGTGAGACATCTAATCATTAGACAGACAGACATAACTTCAATTAATAATTGTACAACATAACTTTTATATGAAACTAAAGTATGACATTTCGCTGTATGAAAATATGACGACTCGATCCGTTTCAACAGCCTCAAGTTATGTGGCGCGTATTCAAGTTGTCAATTAGATATCAAAGTTAATTACACCTCAAAATTGACAATTACTCCAAAGTATCAAAACTGCACAAATTGTGGTGCAAATCATCTTCTTTATAACATATTCTCCAGACTTACCATAATCAAAATTGTGAGTTTGCGACATCATAGATATTACTTTTGAATTTATTTTAATTAAAAATAATAAATATTCTCAAAAATATATATGCGATGAACGCGTACCATATTTTTTCGGGTTTTGAATAATATCAAGAGCGGGATTGTAAACGTCCACATAAACAATCTTAGCTTCAGAGTATTGTTTATTGAGCGAGTCTATTTCGTCTGACAACTTCTTGTTGAATAATTCTGCAATTTGGTTGTATTTATTAACAGGTTTTCTTTTGAGTCCTCCCCATAAAGTTCGTTGTGACGGCATCCACCCGATCGGCGGCAAGCCAAAAATTCCGATCCGACGTGCCCCCAAGTCGTACAAATCCTATATAATCATGTGTAGGGTCATAAGAGCATGCATTTTTATTTTATTTTATTGGAAAATTTTGAAATAATAATGTTGTGGTTAGACATCTAAAGTCATTTTTTTTTTCAAACGGTAGGTCTTGTGTTAGGCAGTTTAATGGTTAGACAGTCATACCCTTTCAATAGATTTACATATTTTTGTTATGAAATGTCATACTTTAAAATATGTTGTAACTAAACAAAGTGTGATATTTCATAGAATATGTAATTTTTTTTTTTTGTGAGAATGTATGGTTGTCTAAAGATTAGACAATCTAATACCAACATTTGTGTATTTCAATATATTTACATATTTAACTAAAATGACATAGTTAAAAAGTAATATCAAAAGCTATGTATGACATCTCATATTATAAAAATACATCTTCTAAAAGGAAGTGTAACCCTTTAATGATTAGGCTGCCTATGGACATCATTTACGTTCCTAAAATAATTTCTAAGAAAAGCATGTGTGATTTGAAAAATAAATCGAACAAAAGTATGTGATTTCATAATATAGTATAATGGATCGATCCGTCTAACCATTAGACTGACATAACTTGTGTTTCAAATTTCACTTACCTTTATGAAGGTGAAAGCAAAGTTGAGCAATAGGTCGATGTAAGAAGGAATGTCGTAATGAGTCCTTCTTTCAAGTGTAAGAAAATATGTGAAAGTTAAGTCATTGCTGCCAGTAATCAATGCAATCAGACTTTCCCTCACAATTTGGGATGATTTTTCCTCCCCAACTATTTTCTTGAGCCTTGTTGTGTAGTCTTTGAACATTTCAATCTGATCTCCTAATGAAAATGTTGACTGCATGTGCCAAACTAATTAAATAGATTAATAAAAAAACAAAAAGGATCGAAATATATTTTTTTTAGTTAGTTTATAAGTTTCTATGTTTAAATAAATTTGGTTTATTGAAAAACAATTAGTCATGACTTATGGTGTTGGTTACCTTATAAATTTCTTATATTCAAATAAGTTTGGTTTGACAATATGGTAAATATTTTTAAAAAGTTGAAATTTATCTTTCTTTTAGCTAGCTTTTCAAAAAATCCCAATATATTTTAGTTGATTTATATGTTAATTTTACCAAATATTTTTTATTATTTATACATAACCTATCAATTATACGCTCAAAATTCACTTCTAAACTTTCAGCTATCGACTAACTTTTAGTTAGATTTACTAAATATACTCTTGAAAAATATTAAACCTAGTTGGTATAGGTCTCAAATTTGTATTCACAACATACCTCATTTAATTGGCAAGTATATTCTCTCTGGTTAGACATGACAATTAGGCGGGGTGGTTCACGACCCGGCCAGCCCGGCGGTTCAAAAATAAAAATAAAAAACAATTGACCACCTCTATATCTGGTTGGTTTCACTCATTTGGAATGGAAAATTTGAAGTTTTGGTCCTAATTTGAAATGAGAAATTGAAGTTTTGGTTCGTTAACTTAAGGTGTTTCTATTTTTGCCTATTAACTGATTGGGATTTGAAATTGGTCTATTAACCTTTCATTTTTAGTCAATTTGGTCCAATTTTGATCTTGAATGCCTAAATTTGTGGAGTTATCTAGTCAGAAATTAGTCCAACAACTCTTAAATTTTAGTGGACTAATTTCGGAATTCAATAAGTTAGTGGACAAAAATGAAAAACACTCCAAGTTTGTGGACTAAATTAAACTGCAATTTTCCCATTTGCAGTATATGACATTAGAAATCAATTGATATTGAAAACAAAATTAAAATAATAAAAATAAAAATACCGTGAGCTCAGATGTTATAGGATCATATCCTGTAGCTCCAGATGCAAAGGATACCCCAGTTAAGATATCTTCATCTTGTAAATTTGGTTCAAGATATGCAGGCAAAACTGGCTTAATTCCCAACTTCTCAGCTGCAATTTTTTTTTTTTTTTTAATAAAACCAAATAATATTAGAAAATATTGAATTGTCAAAGCTGATAGTCACACTTTAAATGTGGAAAAGACCATACATTTCAAAATTATCATAACAATGGTGTTTGGTGGTTGTTCTGAAAAGTTTGTTTTTTCAACTCAATATTGAGTTCATCTTTCCTGAAACACAAATTCTGTTACAAACCGAATTTATCATACTTTTCGAACATAAAATGCATATTTACACTTTGAAGTGTCGTACAAAAGCGAAGTTGTTTTGAAAATATTATATTTGAGTATGAAGATACATAAAAGTACACATATCTTTATACCGAAATATCATACATTGAAAAAAATACGAATAAAAATATAATATTTTAATAGTAAATATTTATTTTACGAAAAAATGATAGATCTAGTTAGCCTGTTAGGGAGTTTAACATCATCATATCATTTGTATCTTGCATAAAAGTTAAGACAGATTTAACAATTAGACAATTATACTTTTCAACACATATATATACACAAACTATCAAATTGAAACACTATAATCTAAATATACAAAAATAAAATAAAAAAAAAAGTATGATATTTCATAGCATAAATATGCAGTTATGTTTAAATGTATCACAAATCGAGCCACATAACGAAATCAAACACTTGTCAATTGTCTTACATACCAAAAAGATCTGATGGAACTTTTCCATTAGAAAATCTTCCAGTGGGCTGCCCTCCCATAAAATCCTGACCATAAGGCTGAAAATTGGCTCTGGCTATTGTTAGTATGTAATTATTGTTGCCAGTATCAACGTTTGAATCTCCAAATACGATGAAGGCTGGAATTGAAGAGTTCTTAGGTAGATTAATTAATCCCCCAACAATACTGAAGATTAATGAATTAAAGAAAAGAAATAAAAATGGTTTTAACCACAAGAACTGCATTTTCTGAAATAAAGGGAGAATAAACAGAAAAAATAAGAAATGAAATCGACAGTGTTACATTTTTATAGGGTTTATGTCTTCAAAATTGGCAGTTAGTTCACAATAATTTTTCAGAAGCTATAAATGTGGATTTGTATAATCAAAATGGAAGTCTGAATTATATAAAAGAATTGTTTGTTGTAATTCATATTAATATTATTGTGTATGACAATAGTGATGCAACACGGAATGGAATAAATACTTCAAATTCGATTTTAATTACTATATCATGTCAAAATAATTCGCATGGATTTATAACAAAAATCAGATACTTGGAATAAGTGCTTCGAAATTCGATTTTAAATACTATATCATGTCAAAATAATTCGCATGCATTTATAACAAAAATCAGATAGTTTTGGTTTATAATTGATTTGTCAATCAAATTTATTTTAAAATCATCAATTATATACCGGAATTGATTTTTATGACTGAATTTCTATATCTTGTATCATTTTAGGAATTGTCAAAAGAAGGAAAAAAAAAAAGTACTTTATCGCAGTCGTAACTAATAACAGAATCATCAATATCAGAATCAATCCTATTGCATTATATTGGACTTTGACTCATCCATAATATAAGTATCCAATTCAATCTTATAGAAATATATTGGACTATCAAAGTGATCATATTCATCAAGAATAATCAATTAATAACTATATTCAAAATATATATTATAAATGACAATCATTTAGTTTTACAAAGTTTGAAATATTATATGTAAAACTATTAACTAATATTTACTAAAGATTATTAAATATCATGAGAAAGTACATAAAAAATGATAATAATTAAAACAAAAAAAAAATGAATCTCAAATGATATTAGGATCTCATAACATACTCAACAAAATCGAAATTGTCATCATAATTGATTTTGGATTTTCAGAATTTAAACATTACATATTTCAACTTGATATATGAAGCATAGTATATGAATTCAACTTCATATAACGTAATTTTTCTGCTGTTACCATATTTCAAATGCAGAATCCTGTAGTACAAAACAAGAAACATAAAAACAATTCAATATAGCCCTGTGAATCGGCAAAAATTCAATTTTAGTCCGCTAACTTGTTCATTGTCCACTTTTGGTACACAATCTTTCCCCTCATCAAACATAGTCCATTATGTTACACTTTTCATCAGTTTTAGTTCACTAATCCCGTGGCCCGGGATTACGAGATGCCAAATCAGGTTTTTATCCTACTACGTCAATATCTTATCTCTTCACGTAGCTCCAATCCCGAGCCGCGTCATCTTGTAATCCCGCCAACTGGAAAGCGTACTAAAACTGATGAAAAATGTAACATAATGGACCATTTTTTATGAAGGGAAAGATAGTGTACCAAAAGTGAACAATGCACAAATTAGCGGACCAAAATTGAATTTTTGCCCCCCTGTAAATCGTACATCAATCAAATTTCTATTCAACAGAATTTTATTTTCACTTCTTTTTTCTCAACAAAAACAATTCAATAGCTATGTAAATAGCACATCAATCAAATTTCTATTCATCACAATGAACTTGATATATGCAACAAATATCATAAAACACAGATTTTCTTTTTCCTATTAATGTGCCACATAATATACATTTATTGTCAATGAACTTCCTGTGACAGACACTCACCACCTCATCAAATTAACCATGTAATATAACAAATGGTTACCATAAGAATACACAGACACGTTTAGAACTAAGAGTAAGAGATATTTGGGAACCACGGCACGACAGATTATTATAATTATAATATTATTATTTTAGCCAAAAAGATAAAAGATAAAACAATAAATATCACGTTACAGTTAAAAAAAAAATCAACTCCAAAGTCCAATAATTTATACGAAGTATGTGGACTTGGCTCTCTTTGTATTCTCGACACTATAAATTATTATAAGACTTTAGCATTTTCACCACTGATAAAATACATGCAGGTTGTTTAAAATCATATATATGAACTTGTAAAAACTTCTAATTTTACCGAGTGATCTTTCTTTTCTCCTCTTTGGCAGGCTTTATCAAGTTCATGAAATCAGCAAAAGCTTTCTTCTTCTCTGGAGATTGTTCAGCAATCTTGGGATATTCAGAAGGATGATTTATCTCACTCGTCTCCTTCTACTGTAGTTTTTTAAATTAAAATCATTTTAATCAATTTCAACTCACAATTCATTCAACATATTGCAAGCATAGACACATATGCACGCACACCTCGAACTACAGGGGAAATATGTAAGTATATAAAGTAAGATCCTTCCATATGAAACATACATTTTGATCAAAGTAGAGGGTTAAGTATTTATGAACTATATTTTGTTTTGAGTTAACATTGGGCCTATGTTTGAATCTGAAATACTTATTTCAAATGTACAGTTATAGCACAAGTCAACCATTAACTTCTGCAAACTTTAGATGCGACACTACACATCCAAATCAAAAAAAGTCAGCCGACAAAAAAAGTCAACCATTAGCTTCACACCGCCTCGACACGGATTTTAGCGAGGCGAGAGGCGCCTGTGTTTGTGTTTAATTTCTATTTGTTTAATTTCTGTTTGTTAAATTTATCCTTTTTTTTTTTAAATATTATGATATATATTGTTGCTTTGTGTTTCCAATTGAATAATCTTTTGTGTTTGTGTTCTTGCCTTTTCTATAATCATTTATTGCATCGTCTATAATATTGTTTTTCTACATTTTGGTGACTTGCATAGCCGAGGCCTCGCCATGGCGAATCGCCTCGCCTCATTGCAAGGCCATGGGCAATCACTTCGCGATTTAAAATATGAACAAATGTAGTCAGCCTCAAACACCACCACACCACGTCCTGTAATGAAATATTTCATTTGAGCACTAATATTATTGCTTGCACTTGCATCATCCTAGACATTATTTACCTAACTGATTTTTTATGTATTCACAACGATGTGTTAAGTGCATGCACTTTTGATAGAGACGAAACTACGACAACTCGAATCTACAAGAGTAGAGAAACTTGATATTGATTCACTTTTGGTCGATCATATGTTCTCGATAGATTTGTTAAGATTGTCAAAGACTCTGAGAGCGAACGATGATGTAAAGAAGTTTGAAAGAGTTATAGCACATGTCATGCAAAGAAGTTTGAAAGAGTCCTAAACGGCAAGCATTTGCCTCGTTCGAAGAAGTTTGAAAGAGTCCTAGAGGGCAAGCATTTTGCCTTCTCACTCTGAACGCAATCGATGTCCATTCAACATAACTTCCATTTGATTGCCTCCACAAATGTTGTATTTGTGGGAAATTCATCTTTTTTCATTGTCGTGATTCTCAGCAACAATAAAGGAAGGAAAACGTTTGTCCCTAAAGGACTTCCAAATTTCTTTGCACGACATCAGTGTTATTAGTGATTGATGGCGGTTTGTCGAAATTCCGCCATAGCAGCCACCGTGGTGGCCTATGGCGTAGCCATCATTCACAAATTTAACATGGCAGAATGTCAAAAATCGGCAACGCCATACGCCATGGCGCCGCCAAGGCCGCCATTTGAAGACACGGTGCTACAACTATCCATTCATCTATGTAACGAACCACAAGTGTAGTCAACCTCGAACATTACACCACGTGTTGTAAATGAAATCCTTCAAATCCGCACTTACATCATCACTCTCAACGTCTGACAATCTAAGTAAATATGTCAGAGCAATAGTGAACCACTACAAAGTTTCTCCATTCTTGTAGATTCTCAAAGTCATAGTTTCATCTACATTAAGGTCAAAAGTGCGTGCACGATACATTATCGTTGTGAATACATAAAAAATCAATTAGATAAATATTGTATTATAAATGTTTTGCATACTAGAATTTAAATTTTCCACCATGCCAAAAAGGTTGATTACTGTTAATTCAACTTAGTTGGATAATATTCAAACTTAGTAAGGAAGAAAGTTTCACTTAGTTGAAGAATCTCACCATAAGTTTTTCTAGGATTTTTCTGGATGTAATTTTCTTTACTTTTCTTCAGTTCTTTAGCATTTGGTCTGGCTCTAATGTAGCTTACAAGCTTACCAGTTAACCTTTCTGGTTTTTTTTTTCGCTTTTATTGGTAATTGTTTTCAGGAGGTTAGTGATTTCTTTGCTCATTTCTTTGGTTCAATGGTGGAAAAATAGTGATTCAATGGAGTGGGAAATTGCAGAGAAATTGCAGAAATTTTCACTAGCCGAACAGAGAAAAAAATTGAAATCACTTTCAGAGGAGGATATTGAGGTTGGAGTGGAGTCAGAGAATGTGCACTTAGCCTGGTAAGGAAGTTAAGTTGTTTGGCGAGGAAAAAGCTTATATTGGGGTTCGAAAAACACCATTTAGCTATATTTGTAAACACGAAAACCTTTCAGTACGGGCACAACCAGGAGGAATGGAAGGATGGTCAAAATCTGGGTAAAAGTCAATCTCAAAAATAAAAAAACCTTGATAAAGGGCACTAACACTAAGCTTGGGGAAGAATCTTGTTGAGTGTGAACTCAAGTATGAAAATTAGCATCGCTTCTACAATGGGAAAGTTGGTCGTGGAGAAAAGAACATTAGAAAGTGTTGGTTAGAGAGGATAAAGGAATACTAGGGGACGCAAGAACGATAAAGAAAGGAGAAATTTGAGAAGAAAATAAGAACTTTAAGGAGAAAATGAGAAAGTCCAATAAAGGAAGGAGAAATTTGGAAAGCATTCACTTTAAACTTTGAATTTTAAAGATACGTAAGAATAAATATATCAAAATCTCCTGTTAGTTCGAGGTTTTATCAAACACGTGAAAGAAAAAAGTTAATATGAATAAATAAGATACTTATAAATGCAAGCTCAAAGGCAACTATCAAATTTTTAGTTTCAACTTTTTTATGAAAACCCAAATCTGTTCAAGCTTTCAAGCCTTTGCTTTTTTATGAAAACCCAAATCTGTTCAAGCTTTCAAGTCTTCAAAGGAGCAAAACATTAGCAAACCATTACCCAAACACATAATAGAGATTTTCTCACAGCCCAGAGGAAAGGTCTACAAACAGAGAGAAAGAAAATAGCAAAGAAGTAAAACATTAGCTAACCATTATCCAAACGCATAATAGAGATTTTCTCACAGCCCACATGAAAGGTCTACAAATAGGGAGAAAGAAAGTAACACAATAGTTAGTTCGTCAACAGGAAGGGGAACCGAACAATAAAAACCACAAAAATGAAATACAAACTCAATATCTCCATAACCATAAGCTTAGAAGGCATACCTTGCATGAAAAGGATTGAAGAGAGTATGACTGAAAGAGCACTGCTANATCTCCATAACCATAGTTTGCTTAAATCTTGTCTTCTGAGGCTGACAGAAACTCGCGAGAATCTCGTATTATTATGTATTTATAAAATTTATATTTAACAAATATTCTATATAGTTCACTTACACTTGTTTAAACAAGCAGTAGTTTGCAGCTATGCGTGATCTCACCAACTCTTGTTAGCCAACTCATCGAGCGTGATCTTGCTAAATATAAATGAACTCCAGCTCGAGCTTGGACTTTCTGAGTTCGGAAAAAGCTTGTTAGCGAGCTTGCTCATCGAGCGTGATCCTGCTAAATATAAATGAACTCCAGCTCGAACTTGGACTTTCTGAGTTCGGAAAAAACTCGTTAAAGCTCTAGCTCGCCGTATAGCTTTTCATTTTTATTTATATAGTTGGTACTCTTGATTTGGTTAAATAATGTACATTGTTTGTTACAAAATTGCAGATTTATTCCGGACTCATTCTCATACAGGGTGAGTGATCCGTATGTTCTCTCCAAGGCCAAAGATCAGGGAACCACAAACAATATTAGATTAAGCGACAAAACTTACGTACAGAAAGAAACAAGAAACTAGAAGTGTGTCATTTGCCTATATAGATGCAAAGAAATTTAGGTTTGATCTAGTAGAATATCAATTTTATTGTGCATCCACGTTTAGTATTATTTACCTTGTCAAACGTAAGTTTAAATATTATTAACCTTGTTGGAGAAAAAGTTGCAGCTGAAAGAGAATACAAGTGAGGGCAAACTTGATGAATTCGCGAAGGACATCAATTTGATTCTCATGAGAAGTCAATTTGATTTTGAAAAATACATTAAATAAATACATTAAAAATGTCTCCAGGTAATAATGTCATTGATACATTGATACAGTTGTATTGGATTGGTTTAAGCTGGGTTTTTGCAAAATGTGTTGACATGAAGTGATGTAATGTCTTTGGTTGAATAGACTCCTTTCAACACATCTTGCAAAAACCAAACTAAAGTAGTTCATCCAATTATATCAAAGACATTCGATCACTTGGTATGCGTGTCAACACATTTCACAAAACCCAAACTAAAGCATCAAAGACATTACAGCTTACTAGGCATTTTTAATGTATTTTTAGAATCAAACTGATAACACTCAACAAAAGATATCCCATAAAAATCAGCTACATGCCACAAATAACACTCATCCACATCTTATATGAGAATTCGCTTGTAGCCTGTATCTCGTAATATGTCGCGTGCCACAATTCACCTCCACGACCCATATCAAATGGCACTTCTGGACCTCTTAGCACTCATGCACCTAAAATTGCAAACTTCACTCTCAATCTAAATGAGACAATTACAGGCCCATTCTGTAGCACCTCGGTTTTCAACGAACTCCACGTTTGTCACAAAATGACTACCTTTCATTGTCCGGTTAGCAAATACAAGGCGATGATTATTCTCCTCAAGGAGATGTGCATACTTAGCACACACCGTCTTTTTCAAAATTCAAAGGCCCGCATGACTAATCGACCTCAAAAACGATTCCATGGGCTTCTTTCTTTTCGATATATTTGATGTTTTTCGCGAATTCATTAAGAACAACTCACACTACAATTAGGTGATTTCATGTTTGCCCTTACTTGTATTCTCCTTCAGGCTGCTCTCATTCTCCATTTGGTTTTTCTTGTTTAGGCTCTTGAACATCAACATTTGCCGTTTGGTCAAACGCTTCCATGGACATTGAACTAAGGCGTATTAGATTGCAGTCCAATAGTTATACCACTAATAACGTGTATTTGTTGTGCTTGTTATGTTAACCTTTGGTACAGTCGGTATAAAAGTGTGTCATTGGCTGTAGGCCGAAGTTTCTCGTAGGCTTATGAGGATCTTGCATCCGGTGAAATACTACTGTTTTATTGGTTAATGAAGTAATTTTTGGCTTTACTAGTGTAGATAGTGCTATGACAATTCATTTTAGGTGTTACTTTGTGGAGCATTAATAACTATTTTGTTGACTAAAGTGTTGATTTGGGAGTGTCTCCATCATTCCATGCAGCAATAGTGCAATGTGCATTTGTTTGTTGGCTATTTAAGTGCAAGATTATTTCCACTCCTCAAATGGTATATTATATGTAGTCAACTTGATTTTTTTCCTTTTATTTTCTCAGGAGGAACTGGATAGAAGCTGCAAGGTGTTAGGTAAACTTCAAATATTTTGTGTTTATTATATAAAACTGAAGTAATGTGAGCTGATTACGTATGTTGTGTGGCATCTGTCTTTTGCATTGCCTTAATCTGTATTTAGTTTTTGTGGCACATTTTAGAAATTTCTTTAGTTATTCTTTTCCTCCACTGTTTGGTCCTGACATTATCCCTTTCTTCCTGGATGCCCAAATTTCTCTTGTTTGGTCCTGACATTATCCCTTTCTTCCTTGATGCCCAAATTTCTCTTGGCTTTGTCTGAATTGATGGATTTGATTTAAGGGCTTCAAACCCATTATAAACAATTACATTTAGCTTGTTTAAGCAATCTCATGAACAAACGTTGTGTACTTTTAGAAAATTTAACCTGGTTGCTTTCGACAAGCTTTATATTTGTTTCATGATAACGAATTTGATGTGTTAAAAAGCTTCTACAGAAGTCTGTCAATAATTTAAAGACAGCTTAAATTTGAGACTGAAATGTTAATATTGGTTTTTTCTTCTTTTTTATAAAATAATAATATTTATATGTTTTGTTCCATTTTCCAAAAACCTCTTAGTTATAAAATATGTTTGTTTATCCTCATTAACCTGAAATTTGTCTCACAACATTAGAAACAGTATAGTATTGTTCTTGAAAGCAATTTCTTATGGTTTGATATGCATGCAAAGGAGTCTTTATGTGATTGTAAGCCTTTTTGGTTTCTTCGCGTGAAAATGTAACATAGGGATTACAGCTTATGAACTTCACTTCCTACCGAAAATTTTATCCATGAGAAATCTTCTTCTTTTTTTTCTGTGATGATGATCCTTCTATGGGTGTCCTGTAATTTGCAAGAAATGTATATACAAGACAAGAAACTATCAAATGAGGAGATGGAATGCTACCGATGTTCGCGTATTTAGCCTTGGGCAGTTCTTGTTTGTGTTCCAATTTTCTAAGCCGATGTTAAAAAAATTTCCTTTCTGTTTTTTGTTATGAATTATTATTTTGTGTGGAAATAATTCTGAAGTTGTTAAATTTGGTTTTTGCCTCCTGTATCCTATATGGAGCTTGTGGGATGTTGTGAAAAATTGCAGATGGCCACCGCTATTCCGGATTCATTCTCGTACAGAGTGGATCATGAGTGATCCAAATGTTCTCTCCGAGGTCAAGAACCAGGGAAACTACAGTGAGTTTTAACTTTTGTGTATTCATTTAATTTTTTTTTATTGTGCATCCTCGCTTAGTCATATTTATTGTAGTATTTCTTTACATTTTTAAATATCACACATATTTGTAATTTGCACATCGTCTTAACATTGATGGAGACAAAGTTGCGGTTGAAGGAGGATAAAAATGAGGACAAGCTTGGTATTAGCTCATTGTCGGTTGAGCATGTGCTCGATGAGTTCGCAAAGGAAATCAGAAATATCAAAAGGGAAGAAGTAAGCGAGCGGGTGAGGAACGTCATCGTAAACCGAGGAGTCATGTTTGAGGAAGACTAATTGAGCAAGGTTTTGTACAATGCAATTTTTATAGCACTCGCCGTGCGAAGAAGTATGCACAAAGCCTTAAGGGGAAGAAGAATCCTCGGCTTGTGTTTGCTAGAAATCACCAAGGAAGTGAGTTTGAAGGCGAGTTCACTGAGGCAGTGAAAGCCGAAATGGTTAAGAATGGGCCAGTGATCATTGCATTTAGAATGAGAAAGAACTTTGAAAATTTATAGGTGCAGGAGAACTACTTGGTCCACAAGTGTCGTTTTATACGGTGGAGGACAGTGGCATGCGGCACTAGTGGTTGGGTGGGCCAACAAGAAGGGTTTCGGTATTACGAGAGCCAAAACTCGCAAGGGATTGACTGGGGATAAGGGCTACGGGGACGTAGATGAAATATGATACATCTTTTAGTGAGTGAAACATTACTTAGCTTGTCCCATTTCAGTTAGTTTGATTTTTACAAAAAACATTTGAAATGTCTCTGTAGTGTCTTTGTTTGATACAGTAACCAGAACTTAACCATTTCAACTGTTTTATGTCAAAATCAAACTAACTGAAATGGGACAAGCTAAGTAAGGTTTCACTCACCAGATGACTCATATCTCATTTACGTCCCACATGTAACACTCTTCCGCGTCATCTACAAGAACCCGCCCGTAGCACTTATCCCCCAATCAGTTCCATGCGAGTTTTGAATCTCGTAATACTGAAACCGTTTTTGTTGGCCTCACCCAACCACTAGTACCGCATGCCACTGTCATCCACCTCCCTTTACCATATAAAACAACACTTGTGAACCAAGTAGTTCTCGTGCACCTAAAATTTCAAAGTTCCTTCTCATTCTAAATGCAGTGATCAATGACTCATTCTTAACCATTTCGGCTTTCACCGCCTCAACGAGACGCAAACTCTTCCTCTTGGTGATTTCTAGCGAGCACAAGTCGATGACTCTTCTTCCCTCAAGGATTTGTGCATACTTCCTCGCACGGCGAGTACTTTAAAAATCGCCTTTGCGAAAGTCCAAAGTCTTGCACAAGTAGTCTTCCTCAAACACGACTTACCGGTTTACGATGACGTTCCTCACCGGCTCGCTTACTTCTTCCCTTATATCTTTGATTTCCCTTGCGAACTCATCGAGCACATGCTCAGCCGACAATGAGTTGATACCAAGTTTATCCTCACTTTTATCCTCCTTCAACGCAACTTTGTCTCCATCAATGTTAAGGCGAAGTGCAAATTACACGTGATATTTAAAAATGTAAAGAAATACTACAATAAAATTGACTAAGCGAGAATGCACAATAAAAAAAAAAAAAAAAAAGAGTACAGAAATGTTAAAACTCACTGGTTTTTTACCTTGGAGAGAACATCTGGATCAATCACTCTGTATGAGAATGAGTTCGAAATAGGTTCGACGGCGACCATTTGCAATTTTTCAACACATCCCACAAGATCCATTTAGGTACAGGAGAGGAAAACCAAAATTTAACAACTTCAGAGTGGAAATATTGATTTCCACTAATGCACAAAATAATAATTCAAAACAAAAAACAGAAGGGAAATTTTGACGCACAAAATAATAATTCAAAACAGAAAACAGAAGGGAAATTTTTGAACACTGGCTCAGCAGACAGGAACTGCCAAGGCTACATACACAAACATCGGGCAACATTCCATCTCCTCATCTGATAGTTTCTTGTATATACATTTCTTGTAAACTACAGGACACCCATAGAAGATCATCATCACAAGAAAAAAAAAAATTTATCATGGATAAAGTTTTCTGAAGGAAGTCAAGGTCATAAGTTGTCATCTCAATGTTACATTTTCACGTGAAGAAACCAAAAAGGCTTACAATCACATAAAGACTCCTTTGCATGCATATCAAACCATAAGAAATTGCTTTCAAAACAATACTATATGCAGGTGTATTAACGTGTGTGTCGTGTATTGGTGTATGTATATGTATGTGTAACGTGTGAGTGGTAGTGTGTGTGTGTGAGAGAGAACATGTGGGGTGGGGTGGGGGGGTTTGGCTGGTTTAGTTGGCAGGTGTATTAATGTTGAGTGGGACCCACCTCTTTGAATGTGGTGTGGAAAAATACAACAATGCCGTTAATGAAGGTATACTTTTGGCTATTCAATCCAATGGCTGAGACTTATTCTCTTTTCTTTCATATATATATGTATATATATATATATTTGTTTTTTCTTGTCAATTGAGTCATACATATAGTGATCCAACATTCCTTGACATCTGGAACACTTATTCGTATTTATATTTTTAACATAAACTTCTCAAAATATATGTAAAATAAGTATACTAACACATTACCTCATATTATTCTACACGAAAAAATCCTAAATATAGGTACATAAATAATTAAGNATACTATTTGTTCTATTTGAGATATATTCTTTTTGTCAAAATTTAATAACATTATAAATTTAATCGATAGTTAATATAATGTCCTTAACAACATGGGTGCATAAATAAAAATAAATATTTGGACGAAAAGAAAGTACATAATTTTATATTCATATAATAAAATGACCAAAAAAAAAAATATACAACTATTAATTATAAAAATTAAAAAAAATAATTATATAAAAATGATGCTCGTGTTTTACACTCGATTGGTCAAAATGATATATTATGTACTTCTCAATAATTTTATTTTGAATTATTAATTTTTTAAATTTGATTATATATCATATTTTAAATTTATATAGTTTTCTTTTCTTGTCTACTATTTTTTTAATTTCTTAAATTTTATAATATTCACCTAGTGCATGTCTCGTGCGATGCACGGAGGAGTTCATATTTTAAACTTAATTTTAAGTATAATTATTAATATTTTCACATCTCATCTCATCTCATTATGGAATTAAATAAATACAATCACTGAAAACATAAATTATTAAACGCTTCTCTTTACACAATATTTTTTATTTAAGGAATATTATTAAACCTTGCAGTTTTGATTTTTTTTTCAAATTAATTAACCAATCTATGATTGTTAATGTACAAAGATAATGGAAATAATCCAAACTTTAAAATAGAGCTTTTTCTTTTTTTTTACAAGGTTGGTTTGTTTAAACTAAGTTACTAAACTATACAATTATTACAATAGTATAAAATATATAAATAATAATAATAATAATAATAATAATAATAATAATAATAATATGATACATCTCAGGCTTCCTTGGATGCCTTTAGCAAACTAGACCTAAAGTGGATTGAGTTCGAGTAGATCACTAATAGCTAAGCTCATTCAAAGCCCTAATTATTCATCTTAAAGTAAAAAATAAAAATAAAAATAAAAATCCATCCAACAAGACAATCTCATAAAAGTAAATAATTATGGTTAAAAGTAGAAGTTTGAAGTTTAGAGAGATGTAAACTATGCAGGCCATTTTATTAAGTTACTATAGCATGTTTTATAGCTTATATGTATGGACAATAATAGGGGATTGTCCAAAAGTTACCAATGTGTGAATTGCATTAACAATACTCACTAAACATTTTCTTAAAATGATAAATATTTTGTCTCGTAGAACGAGAGTGGTAGGACAAGAGTGATGGGAAAGGACGCACGAAAAAAAATGAGAAAGCAAAAAATATTTTTAAAATTGTGAACGGGACGTTAAGATTGAAATTGATGTGATTTAAAATTGAAATACTGGATAGTAATGGTTAACAGTAAAAAAAAATAAGTGGGGATAGAGTAGTATTATTCACTGGGAACATGTAATAATGATTTACTTTTATTTCTCATTTATATTGATGAGATTTAAAAGAGAAAAAAATGAAATAGAAAGAAGAATTGATTTTCTAAAAGAGTTTTGTATACAATCACAATTCTAATGAAAGCAAAATTTGTCCAGCTAGACGAAACAAAACTGAAGTTTTTCAATAACCAATTGCCCCATAATTGGATCTTTTTCAAAATTAAAAGCTTGACCATAAATAAATTAACAAAAAAATCAAGAGGGGTGTTTGCTCAAATAATCATACACTAGTATAGGAAACCAACCTGTTAATGCTATAGGAATCGGCACCCTTCAATATCATGGTGAATAGAAATCAAGTTAAGCTGCTTAAGCAGAACTTTTTGACCGCTCCTCTAAAAACAAAAGGCCAAATAACTAAAATGAAAACCGAAGTAGAAATACCTTTTGTGACCAAATGAAAACTTCAGTGGTTCAAATGAAAAGAAGATAAGAAATCCACTAACATGATCATCAACACTTTAACATCAGCAGGACCCCCGAACAAGTTCCTTCTTCCCTGTGAAAACCAAGAAAGAACGCGACTCATGTTAATATTATTGCATCTTTACAGTCAAACCTACCACCTTCAATATCCTCGAGCAACATTGATTATGCGAAATCATCGAACGAGACTTGAAAATTTTTTAATTATTTGTTTGTGATGCAATCATATGGGAGCATACTTGCAGGCAACATATCAAATCCATATAAATGAATTAGTTAAACAAATATATTCGACAACCAAATGAACAAACACATCGTCAGTTTCTTAGATAATCTTCTCAAAACACTTGTCAGGCATTATCACACAACACACATCAATCAAATGTATACATACGCAAGAGCGGTGATTGTGGTATTGAATTTGAAGCATTAATCCAATTGAAAACCTTCATGATACAGATATTGGTAGATATTGGTAGGGCTGCACATTCGGTCAAAACCGAACCAAACCAACCGAAAATTCGGTCAACTGAATTTTCCCAGTATCAAAACCGAAAACCGAACCAAAAACTACGGTTCGGTTCGGTTTCAAACCGAAAATTTATCGGTTTTTTCGGTTCGCGGTTATCCAATAAAATGGGAAAATGACAAAAATAAAATTTACAAATAACAATAGATATACTTAATAATCTTACTAAAACAAACTAAAATGCATAAAACAAAAAAACAAAAAAAAAGGCCTGAAGGTGAACTCATTTGAGAAAATTTGGGTGTGGATTGGAAGATGATTTTCGAACACAGTCAGTAAGTGTTTTGTTTGAATTGTTTTGTTTGAATGGTGGTGCTGTCAGCACTAGGTCAAAGGAAAATCTAAAAGATCAACGACTCGTCTAAAAGAATCAAAGATCCACGAGCATCGGGACCTTGAAAGCCCAAATCACAACATTTGTTTATGGACACAACTCGGCCCCCAAACTACTCTCCGCTATTGCTCACTTCGTTAATAAAAATCACCCAAATCAAATTAGGAGTCGAAAGGAACGAACTCACAATTAATTCTATGAACTTTTCTAGAATACTTTTTTCGAACTCATTTGAGAAGACTAGCGTCGCCATCGAGTGACGGCCTGCCGAGTGTGTGCGGGAGTGTGTGCGGGAGCAGGAGTGACCAAGCGAGGGCCGAGGCGATTGGGGATTTCAGAATTCAGAGCGTGGCAATTTGGGATTTTCGACTTCAGAGCGCCAACGCCGAGCAATAGGAGATGGTGTGATTGTGTGCGCTGTGCGGCGGACGGGCGGAGAAGATGGTAGGTAGGATTTTCGGATTGTTATGGAAGATGAGTGTTGTGAGCCTGTGAGTGACGATATTTCTGTGAGTATGAGAGATTGGATAATTTGATATTGACAGTCGTATATGAGATGAGTGATAAATCATTAAATTGGGCCTTTTTTGTGGTGAGCAGCCCGTGGTAACTTTGGGCTTGTGGGTTAATATGAATAATATATTATATCATTATATTGGGCTTTTTTATAATATCAGTTTTCGGTTCGGTTCGGTTAACCGATATATTGTAACCAAATCGAACCAAAAACTGAAATATTGAGAAAATACAAACCGAAAACCGAACCAATTTTTCGGTTTCGGTTTCGGTCGGTTAACCATAGTTTGTGCACCCCGTAGGAGTATTGGTAAGAAATATGTTATTCCACACCGATTTGGCCACTTTTATTTAAATATCAAGTATTTTTTTTATTCATTATTATTGATATTTAAAACGAGAAAGTTTGTGGTTGTGATAAACATAGTTGACCCACTATATTATCGCGGTAAAATTTAAATTGTGTTTAAAATAATTAGGTGAAATTCATAGAAATGCATCATTTCAATCTTCCATAATAATTAATAGTATCCAATTACAGATACAACTATTTACTTCTATAAATTACTACAGTGAATCAAATTTAGAGAACTAAGTTACAGGCATCTATACCTTCATACTCTGTACCTTCATACCTTCATACTCCGAAGATAAATGCTACATAACAGTTCAGGGTTAAAAAAGACAAATATCCTTACAAAACCATTAAGAGCAACCTTATGTCAAAGGTGAAATCATTTTTTATTTTACAAATGCGACTCAAACTTAACAAATCGTAAAACCAAATTAATAAAACCTAAGCAAACAAGAAGTGCGTCACTCACCCTGCAGATTCATGGTCCTTGAGTACTTGTGTTC